GACCTCACCCATTATAAATGATACCAGATCATTATTTACCTGCGGACGTCAGCCAGGACAACGAGGCTGCGGAAGAAATAAATACAAATGTGTCAGAAAGCTGGGAAGAAAAATCAAATTAATTACATGAGAATTAAAAAAATAAGGCAGAACTTCCTTTCCTTATACGCAGCGGGGGAGGGGGATTAGGGGGGGGTGTCCTAATTTAGCCGTCTTTTCGGACAGATTAGCACCTGGGCTCTGTATCCGGTATGAGGAATTTGATTCAGACCTGTAGAGTCATCATTTGGGGGGGCTGTACATTCCTCAGCCAGCCAAAGGAGGTCCTCATAAGGAGATTTGTCATTGACGGCTGCCTGCAGCTCGGGGAATGTTTCTAGATAAGAGTGCAGATACCATCCCGGCTCAGGTCACTGCTCAGGGGTATATATGAGAGGGTGGGCTACGGAGACAGGGGAAAGAGACGAAGGGGGCACTGCCAGGAGTCCTAAGAGGGTACCAGGAGGGCATTGGCATACAAGGACTGATAGAACCAGAAGGAACATATATATACTAACAGAGCACTGGGATATACAGGAGGAGTATATAGTAGAGAGTAGCAGGAGGAGAGTAGACTGACAGAGGGCACTGCAAGAAGCCCCAAGAGGGTACCAAGTGGGGATAAAGAATAGACTTGACAAGATACCAGAGCTGGAAGAGGGGTACCAGGAGCACTATATAGGCAGAGAGAGGGAACTTGCACACCAAGAGGGGTATTAAGACTAGTAGAGAGAACCAAAAGGAATATATAGACCAGTGGAGGGTACTAGGAGGAGTATACAGTAGACTAGAGAGGGCACTGGTAGAGTGGTAGACCAAGACACAAGGTAGGGGGTGCTAGGGTAGAGAGTATCAGGAGAAGTACATAGACTAGCAGAGGGTTTGAGGAGGAGTATATTGACTAGTAAAGGGTACCAGGGGGAGTATATAGACTGGGTACCAGGAGGAGTATATAGACTGGGTACCAGGAGGAGTATACAGACTGGCAGAGGGTACCATAGGCACAGATAGCACAGTGTACAAGGACACCAGGGCTAATAGTGTAAACAGAGGGGGACAGATCTACCCACACACAGAGCCCAGCCCAGAAGAAGGGTACTCCCTGTGTAATACACATCGGTGCCTGTACCCCCCTCATCATCCCCATGGAGTGGAAGGCTTACCTCCTGTGCGGCTCCCTGCTTCTGCTCACCTTCCACCTGCGATCCTCCGCTGCTCACCCCATGGCGGAGCAGGACACGGCCGGGGGGGGCCCGGACACCTTCAAGGTGAGTCCCGTATCCTAACACTGCGCGGCGGGTCCGCCCGGGTACCGCAGAAGGAGCGGAGAGGGGCGATGGCAGCGGGGCCGCTTATTGGCTGGCAGCCCGAAAAGGAACATCTGGGGGATCGGCAGCACCGGAGGGGGGTGATAACGGCTTTGTAGCAGATGATTAACCCCCCCGGGGGGCAAACATCTCACAAGACAAATCCGCCTTGTATAGCAGCCGAGGCATGATTCAGCCGGGGTGAATCTTATGCAC